GAGGATAAAAATCATCTTGTCTATTTATATTCTACTAGTACATAACTGTAATGCACTGAGAAAAAAGATCAAAATTTTTGTCGTTGATTAATTTCTAAAAGAAAGAACATGTCACTATTTTCCTATATATATATATATATATATATATATATATATATATATATATATAAGGTTCATTTTTTCTGCAGTCAATGTAGATAAATTATCTACATTGAGTTTAAAATGATGTCGTTTTGAAACGGAAATCAATGTATTTTGTAATTATAATTTATGTCAGGGTTATAATAGTCTTTCACATTTTAATTTTTTAATCTTTCAATCCAAAATGGTGTCATTTTGGGAGAGAATGTAGATAACTTATCTACATTCACTGTAGAAATATTAAAGTCATATATATATATATATATATATATATATATATATATATATTTGTGTATTACCCGTGCGATGCTCGGGGTAAAAAAGAAATCGATTTGTCTCTCTCGTAAAAACTAATGCAAACCGTAAAAGTATATCGCCGCATTTTTTTCAATTAAGTAATGAATGATCTTTTCAATTACCACATTTAACTTCAACAATGGAGTGTCTAATTTTTTATCTTTTAATTTAAAATTATTATATTGGTTTATACATATATATTTAAAAAATTTATGTTTTAAAAAAATAAAAAATGCTTGTATGATTTTTTTTCTCTGTTTGTATTATATATAATTATATAAGTAATTATAATTGGGCCATAACTAAAATTGTAAGTTGGCACTAACTAAAATTTTAACAATGGTAACAGACGAAGATTTGGAGTTGCTTTGCCTGTATGACCATATAACATATTGTTTTCTTCTTAATTTCTTCTTCTTCTTCTTTCATCTTTTTCCAATTAGGATTTTCTTCTAACCTTTTTTTTCTTGTTCGCACTGACCACCCAAAACCCAGCCATTCTGCGACAAGGTATGATGTTTTGTTCCTTTTTCAAAAATTTATGAATACATGTTATTGGAATATGCATGGGTAATTATATTGTCCGCTCGGGGAAAAAATTGATTTATATTTTTGAACCTTGTAAAAGAGAAATTCTTTGTCTTTGCTGACCATAATTGTTTATTGGGTGTTTTTAACATGAGTGAAATCTATGCTCCATTTTTTTATTTACAACATTTTTTTGTGTAGTTGTATTTATTCATTTTATTTCTATTGTAAAATGGAGTGTTGTTTTACGTTTATCTTTTTTTTTTTAAATTATTTTAATGTAGAGCTACAGTTTCTATTGATAATGGAATTGAATTGTTTCTTGGTGATATTTGTATTTGATTTCACAACATGAATGGGAATTTTGGCTATTAATCAGTGAAAACTGTTAAAAAGAAAAATCAATGAAGATAGATGTCTATACATGGAGTATAGAAATTTCTTGTAATATTCATTAACAACTTCTTTGTTTATTTTGTATTTTTAAAAATTTTAAAATATCTAAACATTGATTAAATGATTTATGTGGATATTAGTGGTGTCAAAACGGGTTGACACGACACAAATACATCAACACTAACACGACACAAATTTTTATTCGTGTCAAAATCTTCAACACTGACACGACATAGATTTTTTGCGGGTTGACACGACACAACACGAATAACACGCAAAATAGGGGTCAAAATGGCAATTGACAAAAAATTGTAAAAAAAATGGTTCAAAATTATTTTTTTAAAAAAATAATAGAAAAATAATTAAATAAAAATACGGGTCAACACGAACACGAATTTTCGTGTCGTGACGCGGGTCGACCCACGTGTCATAACCTATATTGACACCCCCAATGGATATAATGTCATTTAAATGATTTTAGACATTTTATCGCCGATTGTTCCATGTTTCTTTTTAATTGTGACGTTTGTTGTCCCTCTATGTTGATATTCTTCACAGGTCACGTCTAAGGGTATAAATGGGCCAAGTTAGGCCAGACTTTGGCTTTGATAGCCTAAATCTACGTAAAATATTTAGAGCCTATACTGACCTATTAGCCTATTAAAGACTTAATACGACCCGTAAGGCCTACCAAGTTGCAAACTAAAGTTTATAGGCCAAACCAATTTAATATAAAAGATAAAAAAATTAATTCATAAAGATCACATGAAATAAATTTTCATTAACATCACATGAAATAATGTTCATAAAGATCATATAAAAATGTTCATGAAAATCACATGAAAATTTCATATATGTATATGGGATAGGTTTTCTGCCTATCATTTTTTCTGTCTACCTTTGCCTACCACTCTAAAATATCATTAGATCAGAATCTTAACTAATCTTTATCTTTCTCTCTCCTCTTGAGATTCTGATTTAACGATATTTTAGAGTGGTAAGCAAATGTAAGCAGAAAAAAAAAAGGTAGGTATAATAACCTATATGTATATATACATATAATTTGTACTTTCTTTACTAATTTAATTATATTTTAAATTTTAAATAAATATTTATTATTTGTTAAAATAACAACAATCTTATTACTTTAAAAATGAATATTTTGATGAAATGCAATTAACTATCGAAGAAACGACAATGTAACACAGACTTGTAAAAATGAATATTTTGATGAAATGCAATTAACAACAATCTTATTACTTTATTATTTGTGTCTTACATACAGCAAGACACAATCATCTGGTCTATTTATATCCTACATTCAAGCTTGTCAATGTAAAAAAAAGTCTACCCTTTAAAAAACGAGCTAGTAATGAATAATCTTCCCCGTTCGAATATCAATTTCAATAAACTCCTCATCAGGATATTTATCTTAATCTTGAACATGATTTGTGACATCACTAACACCCGTACATTAATACGTGGTGTAACATCTCCAACACTAACCTGATTCTGTGATGACGAGGAGGCTCACTCCCTTATTAGAAGATCAACTTGACTCTCATAGGTCGATGGGGTCAATGGTACAATAGCAAAATTATCCCATGGCCTTGTTGGATATATGCTCTTTTGGTCACTAAAGTCCTATTGGGCTTCAGTGAAACTTGAGCCCATGAGGCTTAGGGTTGAGTTATGTCTAAGACCTAAGCGTATATATTCATAGTTTTCTCCTCTTGTGCCTCCAAGGTGAACAGATCATCAGAAACAAACCCCAAGAGGCAGACGTTCATCATCTGAACGGTTGCCCACACAACCATCTCATCCTCCTCGAGAGATAGTCTGGAAGATCTGCCACAGTCCAGCTTCAAGGAGGTTGTTCGTGTTGCGGCGCTGAGGTGAGCTGTTCGTGAGGAGGAATCCTACAAGGGAAGATTCTACACGAGACCTGCGCACCGAGAGGTAATTGTGAAACAAGGATGATTCGGTAAGCATACCAATGTACTGGGTCCTAAACCGCTTCCGCATAAATCTAAGATTTCCTACAGGCCTAACATCATCTCAGAATCAACCAGGTGGAAAGGAGAAGGAAGAAACTGGGTCTTCAACATCAACGTTAATACCTGGCGTAACATCTCCCACACTAATCTGATTCTATTTGGATGAGGAGGCCTCCTCCCATGTTAGAAGTTCAACTTGAGTACTAGCACTCGCATGGGTCGATGGGGTCTATGGTGCAACAACAAATTTACCCCATTGCCTGACATCACTGATCTAAAAAGCTAACGGTTGCAAAAGAGAGAAGGAAATTGGATCTTCAACATCAACATTAATACTTGGTGTAACATCTCCAACACTAACTTGTTTCACATTTTTTTTATAAAGTGTGAAACCGATTTGTTTCTGCTTTTTTTCTCTCACGTTATACTGCAACGTAAGAAAACATGAACCCTAAAATATATGTCAAATGGTGATAAAATGATAGTTTTACCAAATGTGATCCCAGATTGTCATTCAAAGAAGGCACATTAAAGCATTAAAAGCTTGTTTGACATATATTTTTTATAAGTTAAAAGCTAATTTTTTTTATTTTTTTTGGTAAACAAAAGCTAATTTTAAACTAAAGTTAAAAAATAAAAAGCTTAAAAAAAAATTGTTTGATAATTATATAAAATTATTTTGATGGTTTAAAAAAGAGGGAAGATAAAATAATTTATTATTAGGATAAATTATTAGGATAGAAAAAATTATAAATACAAATTTGAAATGAGGATAAAATTATACAATAAATATGAAGACTCATAAAAACTAGCTTATATCTTAAAAAAAAAAAAACTCTTATTAAGAGCTTTTAGTTTTTGCTTTTTTTTTCATTATAAAAAAACACTCATTTTATAATGGGATAAGTTATTTTGCCTACTCATATTTTGTCTACCCTTTCAATACCGTTCGATTATAATCTCATCCAGCGGTAGATATTTGCGAAATAAAATAAATTTTTTTCCCCTTTTCTTTCTCTCTCCTCCCTTGGTTGAATTTCCTCTCCTTTACTTTTTGCGTGAAAAAATAATTCCTTTCTGACAGTTAAAGAATTACGGGTGTGGTGTTAATATTGGGGGTTTCTGAAGTCCGTGTTTGATTGGAGTTTTTATAAAAAAAAATATATTTAACTAAACTTCTGTTTAGAAAAAAAAAATAGAAGATAAAAATAAGACAAGTCAAACACTCACTAAGCAATCCATATAAAAGAAAAAAAATCCAAGGTGATAAAATAAGAAGTAAATTTTATCGTGTTAAATAAAGCATGACATGATTATATGAAAAAATCGTAATTATACAAAAGTGAATTAATGACAATAAAAAAAATGTAGTAAAATAAGTAGTTATAAAATTATTACCATCGATTTAATTTATGATTATAAACTTCTCACGTTATCATGTCGTGTATTATTTAACGTGAAATAATCTATTTTCAATAAAATATATTTAAAAATGTGTTAATATAGTATTCTACTATTATATTCGAGGAACTTGGATAGAAAAATGTCGATCGTGAGTCATGATAGGAACACGACAGAGGAACCTGCATAGAAAAATGACATACAATAAGTTGCTCCCATTTCGTGCCAGCTACTCTCTCTTATCTCCAATCACTATTTATGATATATTATTCAATCACGACACAGTGGTGTGCGTAGTCTTCGTTTTTCGTTGTGAGTGAGACCAATGGAACAACTGAAGCCAAGTCCTGCAAACTCATCCCCTCTCACCCCACTTGGCTTCTTGGACAGAGCAGCCACCGTTTACGGCGACACTCCTTCCATCATCTACAACCACACCACCTACACCTGGTCCCAAACCCGTCGACGATGCCTCCACCTCGCCTCCGCCCTCTCCTCCCTCGGCATCCGTCAAGGCCACGTCGTCTCCGTCGTCGCCCCCAACATCCCCGCCATGTACGAGCTCCACTTCGCCGTCCCCTTCGCCGGCGCCACCCTCAACAACATCAACACCCGCCTCGACGCCCGCACCATCTCCGTCATCTTCCGCCACGCCGAGTCCAGGCTCATCTTCGTGGACTGCGCCTCACGCGATCTCGTCCTCGAAGCCTTATCCTTGTTCCCTTCCCGGAGTCAACGCCCACTCCTCATCCTTATCACGGATGATACAGTTGAGGCTGAGGTTGATGACTTTGATTTCGCGGACACGTACGAGGGGCTGATGAAGAAGGGCGATCGTGATCCCGAGTTCAAGTGGGTCCAGCCTAACAGCGAGTGGGACCCGATGTTACTCAACTACACGTCAGGGACGACGTCGTCCCCAAAGGGCGTCGTGCACTGCCACAGGGGAGCCTTCATCATCACCGTTGATACGCTGATTGATTGGTCGGTTCCGAAGCAACCAATTTACCTCTGGACGCTCCCTATGTTCCACGCTAACGGGTGGAGCTTTCCGTGGGGGATCGCGGCCGTGGGTGGCACCAACATCTGTGTCCGCAAATTCGACGCTGGAATCGTGTACGATCTCATCAAGCGCCACCGCGTCACTCACATGTGTTGCGCTCCGGTGGTTCTCAACATGCTAACCAACTCCCCCGACAACAAACCGCTCCGGAGACCTGTCCATATCCTCACCGCCGGAGCACCTCCGCCGGCTACGGTTCTGTTCCGGACGGAATCCCTGGGGTTCGTGGTGAGCCACGGTTACGGGCTGACGGAGACGGGGGGATTGGTGGTGTCGTGTGCGTGGAAGGATAAGTGGAACCGGCTGCCTGCGACGGAGAGGGCGAAGCTGAAGGCGCGGCAGGGGGTGAGGACGGTTGGGATGACGGAGGTGGACGCGGTGGGTGAGTCCGGGGAGAGCGTGAAGAGCGACGGCGCAACACTTGGGGAGGTGGTCATGAAAGGTGGGTGCCTCATGCTGGGTTACCTGAAGGACCCTGAGGGAACAGCGAATTGCTTCAAGAACGGGTGGTTCTACACGGGTGATGTTGGGGTTATGCATGAGGATGGGTACCTTGAGATTAAGGACAGGTCCAAGGACGTTATTATTAGTGGTGGTGAGAACCTGAGCAGCATCGAGGTTGAGTCGGTGCTGTATGGGCATCCGGCGGTGAACGAGGCGGCGGTGGTGGCGAGAGCCGATGAGTTCTGGGGTGAGACGCCGTGTGCTTTCGTGAGCTTGAAGGTTGGATTGAAGGATAAACCGAGTGAGAAGGACATCATGGAGTTTTGCAAGGAGAACATGCCCCGTTATATGGTTCCTAAGACGGTGGTTTTCAAGGATGAACTTCCCAAGACATCTACGGGCAAAATTCAGAAATTTTTGCTCAGGCAAATTGCAAAGGACATGGGACCGCTCTCCCACAGTCACAGTCGTATGTGAGTGAAACTCATTCAAACAGTCAACGTCAACTCTCGTCAGTCCAAAATCCATATCGTTATCTAACTATGAAAAATTAGAGAGTCCGAAACCCATCACACTCAATGATATTAATTGTTGAATTTATTAACTAATATAATAACATATCATTTTATATTGTTGACTTGACTGTGTATCTCCTTCAATAAATTCTACTTACAGAATAAGAACCTAGATTATTTACTTTTATACCATCCCACTACAATTATTTACTTCTCTTATTTTTCCTCTTCCGATTAACAGCTCCTTTCTTGTTTATGCAATTTCTGATTTTAAAATATCTTTGTAACTATCTTTTCCATTTAATTTATCATCTTTATTTGATGGTGGCTTTGCAATTACATTATTTGTTTAATTTTATTTAGAAAGGTATAGATGAAAATTAATTAACTTAAGCGGGTACTTATTAAAAATAAATTGTTGAAGTTGACTGAATTATTTTTTGGTACAGAATATAATTCTGATTTTAATTTGTATTTATTTTCGTAAGCAAGGGTAAAAAAAAAAGTTGAGTTTCCCTCTTATCTTTCTGGTAGAATTGTTTTCAAGTCCTTTTCCTCCTGAAAAGCTAGGAAATTTTTTCACATATTTACTCTGTTCATTTGACAATGACATTTTGAAAGATAAATGATGCAACATAAGTGGCAAAAAAAAATTAATTTATTTCTTTTTTAATAAAAAAATCACGAATAAATAGTCGTTTTGAAATTAATTACGAAAATATAGAAGTGAAACATGTCCCATAGGGGCGTGACTGGTTGGAGAGAGACACCCCCATATCTGAGCTTGTTTCACCAAGTGTTGCCACGTGTCACAAAAGTCAACAATTTGATCGTAAAACTTTAGAAGTCCATAACTTTTGACTCGGGTACGAATTAGGTAATTTTTTTTTTAATTTCATATAACTTTTCGAGATCTGCGTAATGACACATCATTTGGTATATTTCTTCTCTCACAAAAAAAAATGAATTTACAATAATGATACCATAAGAACGTTTAAACTCAAATTAATAAGCAGAAAACCACTGTTATGATTAGAAACATTCATAATAAAGATCTTTATGATTATGGTAAGTTATGATAAGGTTAATTATGTATGTTATTGAGATATATATTAGAAATTTGAATGAAGAATTTTATGAAATTTATAACTTTATTCGGTTAACATCTGTCGGTGACTGAATATCGAATAATTTATATTAAAAAGTTAAGTGAGTGCTTTTTGTTTTATTTTGATTTTTAAGTTTTTGTTCATGATTATAAAAATGTTAGATTATTTTTAATAATAATTATAAGGTAACAAAGTCATGTCATTTTTAATAATTATGGTATTATTGTTGTAAATTCAATTTTTTTTGTGAGAGACAAAATATGCCAAATGAGGTGTCATTACGTAGATCTCGAAAAGTTATGTGAAATCAAAAAAAAATTACCTAATTCGGATACCCGAGTCAAAAGTTATGGACTTTCAAAGTTTTACGATCAAATTATTGACTTTTGTGACACGTGGCAACACCCGGTGAAACACGCCCAGATGGGGTGTGTCTCTCTCCAACTTGGCCACGCCCCATGTGGGCGTGACTCACGCTTAGGTCATGCCCCACATGGGCGTGTTTCTTTACTGGAACACGTCCCCATGTGGACGTGTTTGACTGCTATATTTTCGTAATTAATTTCAAAACGACTACATTTTCGTAAATTTTTATTAAAAAAATAATAAATTAATTTTTTTGTCGAGCACAACTAGTACACAAGCATGAAAGAATATGCTTATCTTAAGTCATCCCAATCTTAAATGCATTTGTTTAAGAGGTAGAATATTCTTTCAACTTTTTCTCTAATCCAATGGTGATCAGAGCAATAGTAAAATAGTTGTAAATTTTTTTAATAATATGAATATCCTACCTCGTTATTTAAATAGAGAAGAATAACGAGAAGAAGCATCCCCCGTACGCTTTTATTATATAAAGGAGAAAATATTTGTTATGTTACCGAAAGAGGAAATCTTTTTTCTACACTAAAAAAAAATGCGGGTCTATGAGAGTTTAAAAAAAAAAATAAAAAAAAATGTTGACAATGATATTTTTATCGCGGGATGACGGAAACAAAATATAACTATTCTATTTGTGCCCAAAAAGATTTTAAATAACAATAATGTATATCCCTCACATAGAGGTCACAATTTCTCAAAAGTTTATCACTTTGAAAATACGCATAAAATAATTTGTGTATATGTGCATATGCCAATTAATTGTCCATAAACAGTACTATTAAAATGACTGATCCTAAACTTAGGCCCAATGATCTAGTCCACGCGTCACGGGTCATTTCTCTTGGTATTTTTTCCTTTCAATCTCAGGTTGATGGGACAACGATTAAATTGTTACTGTTTATACAAATTATTATCAAAATGGTATGATCTTGAAATATTTTATCAAGGGTTTTCATTTTATCCTTTAACATAACACAACAAATTTTCCTACCTTCATAACATTTTGTGGGGCCCACACTTTTTAAAACAAAAAAATAAATAAAAAATTAAGGCACGCAAAACGAATCTCTATAACATTACACAATCACTTTTCCTACAACATAACTCTTATAAAACCCTTTTATCAAAGTGTCACGTCAGTAGTCTCACTACAACACAAGGCAAGTTAGGATTTGCTATATGACAACACTTCGTTAGCCACGTAACTAACTGCGCAGTGCAGCGAGTCTAGGTGACAGACAACCGTTGCCACCGTGGCTGACACGTGTGTAACTCGCTACACAACATAACTGGTTACGTAGCACTTGTTAAACTAGCTATGCTGCATAGCTAGTTTAAGTGTAAAGCTACCGATTCTGCATAGCTAGTCTGCGTGTATTTAAATAATATAAATTAATATAATTAACAAATGATAATTGTAAAATAATTTAAATTAAATTATACAAATTTAAACTACATTAATCAACAAAGATAAAATTCACTAAATTCATTAGCACTCATAACTTATATTAAATACCTTAAAGGCCTAAAATAATTTAACTTACATAACCTAAATTAAAGTAATAGTCCTATATTAATTTAAATTAATTAACACACATAAATTAAATTAAATAAATTTAGTTAAACCTCTAAAAATAACTAATTAATTATTCTAAATTAGTTTAAATTAATATACACTAAACTAAAATAAGATGATTAACAAACATTAATTTAATTTAATTCTTTAACAGTACTCAATGATATTAAATTTTTTAACTGTTACAAGTAGTTGTAATTAGCATATTTTAATTTTTAATAAATTAATATAATTAACACTACTAAAGATTAACAAATGATAATTGTAAAATAATTTAAATTAAATTATACAAATTTAAACTACATTAATTAACAAAGATAAATTTCACTAAATTCATTAACACTCATAACTTATATTAAATACCTTAAAAGTCGAAAATAATTTAACTTACATAACCTAAATTAAATTAATAGTCCTATATTAATTTAAATTAATTAACAGACATAAATTAAATTAAATGAATTTAGTTAAAACCCCTAAAAATAACTAATTAATTATTTTAAATTAGTTTAAATTAATATACACTAAACTAAAATAAAATAATTAACAAACATTAATTTAATTTAATTCTTTAACAGTACTCAATGATATTAAATTTTTTAGCCGTTACAAGTTGTTGTAATTAGCATATTTTAATTTATAATAAATTAAAGTAATTAACACTCCTAAAATTAACAAATGATAATTATAAAATAATTTAACTTACTTGGGTTTACCGTAGTGTGACACGTGTCACATATGGGTTGTCACGCAGAGTCGCTGCACAGCTCAGCTAGTTACGTGCCAACGAGATGCTGCCACGTGGTCAATCTTAATTTGCCACGTTACATAGCGAGACTGATGACATAGCACTTTGGTAAAAAAAATTGGGTTATGATATTATGATAATATTTTAGCTAAGTGACAATTTAATTATGGTCCCAGATTCATGCAGTGACAAACCGACAACAATAAAATTATCTCATCTCACTCTCCCTCGTCATATTAATTATTAAATGCTAGTCTCATCACATTAAATGCTAAATATGACCTATAAATACATCTCTCCATTACAAAAAGAGGTAGCAATCTAATATATCATGAGTTGTTAGTGTTTAATTGGAAAATTACCTTGACTGTTGAACACACACACACCCCCTTTCTCTTTCATCATCATCTTATAATTTTATTATTGTCATTAAGAGTTACCCAGTATTAAGATATTCTCGATTCTTGGGGCTTTGCCACTTTTGCCTATAAAAAAAAAATTCTCGATTCTTCTCAATTATCATCATCGGACAGTTGAAGTACATTAATAAAATCCACCTAATTTTGTTTTTAAACTGGGAAATGAGTGGATTGCACCACCATCCGATGCGTGTGTCACTCGTACAACTATGGGGTGGGGCTTGGTGTCGAACAGGGAGAAGTGAGATCAAAGAACTCTAAAAAGAGTCAAGACAAGCTGCCCTACCTAATTTGTTTTGATTGGAATTATTGGTTCGTAGGTTACCGCTTCCTACCTTAATATGAAAATATAGTAGAGATAATCAAAACGGAAATGTCCCTTGCACATGAGTTAAACATTTTCTTAATGAGATGAAAATGTTAAGAACTTGAGGTGACTACTCCAAAAGCTAGCTCAAGGGGTGAGAGTGCTCAAAGTCTTATAAAGGTTATATTAGTTGCCCATCCAATCAATGTGAGATTATATATCTCAACACGTCCCCTCACGCAAGAGCAATGTGAGATTATATATCTCAACACGTCCCAACACGTCCCCTCACGCAAGAGCAATGTGAGATTATATATCTCAACACGTCCCATCACGCAAGAGCCCTTTAGGTTAGAAGGGTGAAAATTGCACATGCTTATTTTTGGTTTACCTTTTTTGTGTTTTATTTATTTATTTTAATTCCACTTTTTAAAGCGGGGGACGGTGAGGTTCTGATACCATATTAAGAACTTGAGGTCACCACCCCAAAAGCTAGCTCAAGGGGTGGGAGTGCCGAAGGCCTTATAAAGGCCATATTAGTTGCTCATTCAATCAATGTGGGACTATATATCTCAACACGTCCCCTCACACAAGAGCAATGTGAGACTATATATTTCAACAGATCGAACAAATATATGATTGTTAATACCAGATTTTACTCAGCGTCAACTGTTGAGTGAAAAAAAAAAAAAAAACTTCTCGCAACACTTTCTTCTCCTACTTATCGGATGGATTTTTTGTTACTCTCGTACCATTTTGTGTGGTATGGGAGTACTCTGTTATTAAAAAAAAAAGAATATGACAGAAAATAATTATAAAGACATAGATATATATATAAAATATATTATTTTCTTTTATATTTAGTAAATATGCATTGAATATAGATTACCAAAAAAAGATGCACTGAATATTTAATACTCTCTTATCACCGGAAATATTTTCGTGATTTGGACAGAGTCTTCGCCCTCAAATACTTGCGACACCTACCCTTACTAAAACAGGAGCCCAAAAAATAAAAGATAGAAAAAGTTATAGGTGAAAACTACTTATGAGGGCATTGAGGGGGGCTGGTAGTGCCGGTGACACATAGGAGGAAGATTTTTGGATGGGCTTTTTTTATGAAAGAATTTTTATTTATTTAAAAAAAGCTATTTTGGGATTTTTTATTTTCGTCAACAGTATTTTAATAACTCTATATATAAAAAATATTTACTAATTTAACCTACAAATATTTTTTTATTTAAAAATATTTTTTATGTATTTCATCCAAGTGTAAAATAATTTTAACTTTTATAAAAAGTCATTATAAAAAAAACCAATAAAAGATTATGTTTTTTAAAAATCATCCCAACGAGCTCATAATATGAAGAAGCCAAAAGGAGGGGTGAAAGAAGTTAATGCTATGGACCAGGAGATGATGGAAAAGGAACCAAGCCAGAGAAGGAGATGTTCCATGGAATACAAACTTATATTATGTATGAAGAACAATTTGTTCGTGTTAAAATTTTATATAATTTTTTTATGTAAATTTTTTGTACTTATTATCTTTGTTAGATATTAAATAAATAAATAAAATTTTATGATATTTTGTCAAACAATAAATACTAAATTTATTTGTAAATATTTATATAATTAAAAAATAGAGATAAAATTTTGACGCGGGATAAGAATACACGAAAAAAATTGTAAATTTAACAAGGATTTATTTCCTGTGGTGCACTACCATGTGGTGGGTTCAGAGAATTCGATTAATTTGACGAGGTTAGAATAATGCAGTTTCTGAAGAAGGAATATATTATGCCAAAATGAGTTGTTAAAGAAAGGAAAAATAGAAAAATAAAATAAGGTATTATTGTTTTCAATGTAATAAGAGATAATTTTATCTATTATATATATATAAAAGTATGTGGAATTCATGTGAAGTAAAAAAAGAGAAAATAATAAAATGAGTCTCACATATTTTTATTTATATATAATAGATAAAAATATTAATTTTAAAAAAATGATCATAAAAATAAAAATAATATATATATATATATATATATATATATATATGGGTGCATATTTTCTTATGTTGTAGGATAGTAGGAGAGAAAAAAAGTAGAGATAAGTTAAATGTGGGTCCCACATTTTAAATTAAAAAAGAAAAGAAAAATTAATTGGCACGGAAAACGAATTTGTGTAGGAAAAAATTCTTATCTCATGTAGATGGAGATAATGATTTCCCTATATATATATATATATATATATATATAGTAGAGAATGCATAAAGATACTCTTAACACTGAAAATATTTTACTGATTGGACAATGGACATAGAGTCTTTTTTTTTTTTTTTGGTACACGATGGACATATAGTCTTCGCCCTTAAATGCCTGCGACACCTACCTTTACTAAAACGGTAGCCCAAAAAAAGAAATTATTATTTCATAGTATTTCACTTCGAAAATTACATTTTTTTATTTTTTTTTACTTTTTAATGATAGGTCTCCCTTAATTTTTGTACGTCATACGAAAAAGTAATCTCATGTAATATGATAATAGTATTTCAAAAAAATTAAAGAGAAAAAAAGTTATTGGTGAAAAAAACTACTTACAACAGAGGCGAGTAATATTTGTTGGTTCTCAGTAACACAACCACTCAAACTGCAGTGTCATAAAGTGGTGCTCCATTAATAACTAACCACACAATCTAGTGAATTTACTGCTCTGCTATATGCTTCACATCCAACAATATCTCTCTTTGCATGAATTTCAATTGTACTTCACACAGCCAGAAAAAAATATCAAGACATGAGGTTTACCATTTAGCTTGTGGTAAGAAAAGTGTTTATCTTTTTAAATGACACAATTTATATTTTTTTCATTTTCATAAAGAGGTGAGATTTACACCTTTATATTTTTCTGTCTATTTTCTCTTCTTCTTTATCTATCGTTTTCTCTCATTTAAAATGACACAATTTTATATAATGATACACACTCTTCTCTTCTTCTCTTGCACATGTGGTGATGTACGGATATGTAGTGGTGCGTGTGTATCCCATCCCCATGTTTATTTAATAAACAGACGGATCATTCCATAGGCTGCACAGTTTTGTGTTATTGACGGACGATGGATCAGCTCAACCTATGCCCAAACTCTGCTAACTCGCCACCACTCACCCCACTCAGCTTCTTGGACAGAGCTGCTGTTGTCTACGGTGATTCCCATTCTATTCTCTACAACAGCACCTCCTTCACCTGGTCCCAAACCCACCGTCGATGCCTCCAACTCGCCTCCTCCCTCTCCTCCCTCGGCATCCGCAGGGGCGACGTCGTTTCCGTACTCTCCCCAAACACTCCCCCCATGTACGAGCTCCACTTCGCCGTCCCCATGACCGGCGCCACCCTCAACAACCTCAACCTCCGCCTCGACCACCGCACCCTCTCCGTCCTCCTCCTCCACAGCGAATCCAAGCTCGTGTTCGTCGACGTTCTCTCCCTCTCTCTCATCCTCAACGCCCTCTCCTCCTTCCCGCCAAACACCACCTCGCGTCCCCATCTCGTCCTCATCACCGATGATGCGGTCGCGGTGCACCAAGACCTTTTCCCAGCCGTTGAGTTCCTGGACTCCTACGAGGGTCTCATGAGCAAGGGCGATCCTGGCTTCAAGTGGGTCAGACCCAACTCCGAGTGGGACCCAATAACTTTAAACTACACTTCAGGTACGACGTCGTCTCCCAAAGGCGTGGTGCATTGCCACAGAGGAACCTTCATCGTGGCCCTTGATTCCTTGATTGACTGGTCCGTGCCGAAACAGCCGGTTTACCTGTGGACTCTGCCCATGTTCCACTCTAACGGATGGAGCTTCCCGTGGGGAATCGCTGCCGTCGGTGGAACCAACGTTTGCGCGCGTAGGATCGACGCCCAGACGATCTTCCGCCTGATTGAATCGCACGGGGTAACCCACATGTGCGCTGCGCCTGTGGTGCTCAACATGCTAACGAGCTTCGACAGAACAGAACCGCTTAAGAACCCGGTTCACGTCCTGACTGGCGGTTCGCCTCCTCCGGCGACGGTTCTGTCCCGGGCAGAGTCGCTGGGTTTGGTGGTGAGCCACGGGTACGGGATGACGGAGACGTGCGGTGTGATAGTGTCGTGCACGTGGAAGAGGGAGTGGAATGAGTTTCCGGCGAGGGAGAGGGCGAGGCTGAAGGCGAGGCAGGGAGTGAGGACGGTGGGAGTGACGGAGGTGGACGTGGTGGAGGCTGAGTCAGGATTGAGCGTGAAGCGGGACGGATCAACGGTGGGCGAGATAGTGGTGAGAGGAGGGTGCGTGATGCTGGGTTACCTGAAAGACGAAGAAGCGACGTCAAAGTGCATGAGAAGAGGGAATGGGTGGTTCTACACGGGGGACGTTGGGGTGATGCACCAGGATGGGTATTTGGAGATCAAGGATAGGTCTAAAGACGTCATAATAAGTGGCGGAGAGAACCTCAGCAGCGTGGAGGTTGAGGCGGTGCTGTATACTCACCCTGCGGTTAACGAGGTGGCTGTGGTGGCGAGGCCAGATCATTTCTGGGGGGAGACGCCGTGTGCGTTTGTGACCTTGAAGGGTGGTACTGGGTTGACGAAGAAGCCTTCGGAGAAGGAGCTGATGGAGTTTTGTAGGGAGAGGTTGCCACATTTTATGGTCCCGAAGACGGTGGTGTTTATGGAGGAGCTGCCGAGGACTTCCACGGGGAAGGTTCGGAAAAATATACTTAGAACGGATGCCCAAGCTATGGGGTCTTTGCCACCGCCAACACCACCACCTAGTCGCACGTAATAATGATCAACTATATATTGTTTTGTTTATACAAGAGTTAAGAGTTATCTTGTATTAAAAGTGATTGTGTTATGGTATATAGATTTGTTTTTGCTGAAGTTTTTTTTTTGCTGCGGGTCCTACAAAATATTGTGTATGTAAAAAACTTTTTATGATCACATTAAATAATAGATGATAAACCCTTTGTTTATAGAGAAAGAAAGACTTTAATTTGCAGCTATTAAATTGGTGGTTACTTGTGTTTCAACCAAGAATATTTCTCTCTCATTTTTGGCTCACAAATGGGTTTAAACCATGTTTTACGAATTGAAACGTGATATTTTGGTCAGCACATTAAATCTCTCATGTTAAGTAACACATAGTTACACGGAATGATCCATTTTCCTGGATCTCCTTTATCACGATCATATCATGTGAAAAAATTAATCTTTTATAGATAAATCAATTGTCAAAACTTTATTATTTTATATTCTAATATATTTTTTTCTCTTATTTTTTATCATTATTAATTTGCCCATAAATAATTAGAATCTTCTCATATAATATAATTATTTAACTAACACACGAGAATATCCACTCCCATCTATTTCATTTAAAGTATGGTATTTTTTCTACATTCTTTTGTTTTTTTGATATTTTTCTGCTCTTTTAACATTTTATTATTATTTTTAAAAATTAAGATAGGCCAACTCATTTAATCCATTCGCTTAAGTGGTTTGAATCGGATTAATAATTTTTAGATTACTACTAAAGTGATCCGGATTGGGTTTGCTCACTTTAAAGGTCAACCCATCCACAGTGGGCCGACTGAGTTGACCTAATTGGGTAGTTTTATATATCATTTGACCGATTTGATTATAAATATTGTGAACACCGGATTTTGTCCCAGATCTCTTAGGTAGTGTTTTGTTGAAGGTTTATTTTGGGATTGATGAAAAAGTATAAGTGGATATTGAAAAATAACATGTTTGGTTCAGGTTTTTTCAAGAAATACTAGGCAAATAGGATAGATGGAAAAATGACTTTTATGTTGATTTTTGGATGAAATTCATTGTTACAGAATACCACTTGAAATGTGGTATTTTGAGATAACTGGGGAAGTGAAAAAACAGGTGCAAAGTTTCTCTCGAACATAGATTTTGCATATTTAAATAAATTTTTCTGGTAATATTTGGGTCAACCAAACAACTTTATTTACATTTTCCTACCAAACTCACTTTCCAACAATTTCCCTATCAATTACATTTTCCTAGTAAAAAAAAATTTCTCCCGAACCAAACACTACCTTAAAAAAAACATATTTTTTATTGTGAACTCCTATTTTAAAAATAAAAAATAAAAAAATAAAAGTAGTAATTAAATAATAAAATAAAAAATAAAAAATGAACAAAAGAAGAAAACTACCCCTAACTATTACTTGCATCGTGAGCAGAGCAACTACATTTCTCTCTTTTCCTAAGCTAGTCATATTGTCGTTTCAAGAGGAAAAGCTCTGCACAAGAGACCGCCACTGCAAAAGAGTTCTCCACTGGCTTACGTTTTGGGCACAAAGCTACTTCACTGGTGTACGTTGCATACTTTGCTGAAAAGTAAGATATCAGGTAGACAAAATAAGAATGGTTCAGAGATGGATACATAGAAGCTATTAGAAGAAAGAATTAAAAACTGTATATTCATTATGTTGATTACAGAAGGTATCTCTGATATATATACATAAGAGAGTGAAATGCAAAAAGAATCTCCTAACAAACTGTAACAAATTGAACCAAAGAAAAAGGCACCACTACTTCACGTGGTTTGTTACAACAGAAAAAGAAAGATAAGAATAAAGCTATATCTAACTAATATTATTCTCTAATCACAATCTTAACACTCCCCCTCAAGATGGAGAGTGTATATTCAACACTCCCATCTTGTCAAGCAATGTTTGAAATTGTCCAGGAAATAATGGCTTGGTAAGCAAATCTGCCTGCTGCAGCTGAGAAGGAATATACATCACCTTTACCTCCCCTTTTGATACCTTTTCTCTAACCAAGTGACAATCTATCTCTATGTGTTTAGTCCTCTCATGAAAAACTGAATTTTCTGCAATGTGTAGGGCTGCTTGATTATCACAAAAAATCAAGCAAGGTTCTTGATGCAGTATGCCAAAATCAAGCAAAAGAGATCGTAGCCAAATTAATTCACATGTCACATTAGCCATTGCTCTATACTCGGCCTCAGCTGATGATCTAGCCACTGTTGGTTGTTTCTTTGACTTCCAACTTATCAATGAGTCTCCTATAAAAACACAAAAACCAGTAATTGATCTTCTAGTGTCTGTGCATGATCCCCAATATGAGTCAGAAAAAGCTCTTAACTTCAATTGTCCAGAAGTAGGGTAAAAAATGCCTTGTCCAACTGTCCCTTTGACATATTGCAGTAACCTATGAACTGCATGAAGATGTGGTACCCTCGGATGAGCAAGAAACTGGCTAAGTTTATTTACAGCATATGACAAATCTGGTCTACTAATGGTTAAGAATAACAACCGTCCAATTAGTCTCCTGTAAGAAACTGGATCATCTAACAAGTCACCCTCCTCTTGAGACAACTTGATATTTGGTTCCATTGGAGTAGCTTTGGATTTACAACCAGTAACTCCAGCATCTTTTAAAATCTGTAGTGCATATCCTCTTTGGCAAATGGAAATCCCTTTGCATGAACGTTCAACTTCTAATCCAAGGAAATACTTCAAATCACCAAGGTCTTTCAATTTAAATTGATTGTTCAAGTAATCTTTCAGTTGCTGCACTTCTGAATCATTATTTCCAGCCACTATGATGTCATCTACATACACCAAAACAGCAAGAAAACATCCGCTTTTGTTCTTAACAAAGAGAGAAGAATCTCCAATGGATTGTTTGAAACCATGAGTAATTAAAACCTGAGAAAATTTATGGAACCACTGCCTTGATGCCTGTTTAAGTCCATACAAGGACTTATGTAACTTACAAACCATATTTGATGATGCAGGCTCCCCCTCATGGAGATAACCGAGAGGTGGAACCATGTACACTTCTTCAGTTAACTCACCATGGAGAAAAGCGTTATTGATGTCTAAATGAGTAAGGGACCAGCCACGCAAGGAGGCCAAAGCAAGCAATAAACGAACAAATGTTACTTTTGCTACTGGAGAGAATGTATCAAAAAAATCCACTCCCTCTTGTTGATTGAAACCTTGAGCCACTAAACGAGCTTTATAACGTTCCAGGGTACCATCTGCATGAAGCTTTACTTTGTAGACCCATTTGCAACCGATGGCCCTTTTATTAGGTGGCAATGGAACAAGAGACCAAGTTCCATTTGTTTCCAAAGCATTAATCTCCAATTGCATTGCTTGCTGCCATGAGGGAACTTTAACAGCTTCATAGAAAGAGGAGGGCTCTGGATGTAATGTGACCGAGCCAATGAAAGATGCATAAGAAGCAGAGAGGCGAGAACTTGAGAGAACAGACTCAAGAGGATGCTGTGTAGAAGATGGTACAGAGTAGCAATGATAGTCTCTTAAATGAGAAAGAGGATGAACATCTCTAGTGGAGGTTCTGCGAGTAACAAGTGGCTGTGAAGGCAATGCAGAAGTCACGTCCATGATAGGAAGGGTGGAAGGTACTTGCATAGGCAAAACAGAATCATCAAATACAGTAGGAGAAGAATCAGGTAGATGCTTGAAAGGGAACTCATGCTCATGAAAAACAACATCCCTTGATATGAAGACTTTGTTGGTTGCCACATTCAACACCTTGTAGGCTTTGTATCCTTGCGGATATCCAAGAAACACACCAGGAAAAGCTCGTGAGAAAATTTGTGACGATCACGAGGCAATGTAGATACATAACATAGACACCCAAATGTCCGAAGATGTGAATAGGAAGGAGGCTTCCCCATCAGCACCTCAAAAGGGGATTTGTCAGTCAACAATGTAGATGGCAAGCGGTTGATTAAATACACAGCCGTTTGTACACAGTCTGCCCAGTAACCAAAAGGTACATTTGACTGGAATTGGAGAGACCTTGCCACATTAAGCAAGTGTTGATGCTTACGTTCTACCACAGCATTTTGCTGGGGCCTATCAACACAGGAATGATAAGACATAATACCTTTCATTTTGAAAAATTCAGAGAAATTAAATTCCGGAGCATTATCAGACCGGACAGCCTTAATATTCACATGGAACTGAGTGTTAATCATAGTATGAAACTCAGGAAAAATTTGTAAAACATCAGATTTGGATCGTAAGAAATAAAGCCAAGTATACCTGTTGCAATCATCAACAATGGTTAAGAAATAACGAAAACCATCAACAGAGACAGGTGAAAAAGGACCCCATATATCCAAATGAACCAAATCAAAAGGTGAAGAACTCATGTTATTATTTGAAACAAAAGGCAAACGCCTCTGTTTAGACAAAGGACACACATTACAAAAGGTGTTTGGAATTGAAGACAGATGCAACATATGCTGTAAAACATGTAAACGGGAAAAAGAGGGATGACCCAAACGCATGTGCCAGAGAGAGGATAATTTTGTGGATGAGACCTGTGCTTCAGGACCATTGGAGACGGCATGTAGGACATACAAATTACCTTGTCTCTCAGCCGTCCCAATCGTGTGGCCCGTGGTAAGATCCTGCAAAACACACGAAGAGGATGAAAAAGAGATATTGAGTTTGAAGACAGATGTCAAACAACTGACAGATAAAAGATTATATGTAAAATCTGGCACATACAACACGGATGGTAAAATTAAATTGGGAGAAATGCGGACAGAACCCAATCGTGGCACTGAAATAGAAGTATCGTTGGGTAGATTGACAAAGAAATCATTAATAGGAGAAGAGGAAAGAAATTGCTTGAGGTCGCAACATACATGATGTGTTGCACCTGTATCTAAGATCCAGGCTGAAGAAGAAAATGAAGGTGACTCACCGGACACGTGTGCAACAGAGGAGACAGAAGCGG